GGGTGAGATGTTTTCTTGCTAGTCCAAGTACTTGTGCGGAAAGTCTATAACTTGCCCCGAATGTATTTTAAGGTGAAACTGTAAGTTTTGCTTGGCTTGAGAAGTGATTGTAGGCTTTTCTTAGCCCGTTTGAGTTTTTTATTGCCTACCAATGATGTCATCCCTAGTCAACCCCTTCGAGTCTTTTGCCTTCCTCGTTTGAAAACCGTGTTACAATCCTTTACCCATTCTATAGCGACCCTCTCTTGGCACCCAAACTTTCCTTAATACTCATGTGAAACAATTGGCTAAAAATGTAAGTTTGGGGGAGAGACAAGGAAATTGAAAGAAGGTATCAAGGCACAAAAAGAGAAAAGAAATGACGAGAAGAAAAGGCAACGAAAAGAAAAGAACAAAAAGAGAAATGCAAAAAAGTGAATAAATGAAAGAGTTTAAGGGATTCAAAGAAAGGCAATGATCCCAAACATGGAGAAATATGAATATAATGATCAAGAAAGAGTGATGTTAAGTCTCTGTAGTCCCTCGAGGAAAAGAAAGTGCCTCAAGAAATCGGCAAAGTGTGAGCCGAGAATTGAAAGATGGAGTGCTTAAGGAAGGTATAACCACTTATCCATATTGTATCATCCCTAATCCAAAAGCCTTCATTACATCCCGATAGAAGTCCTGCTTAATTTTGAGCCGACTGAGCTACATTAGTGGTGATTTACATGAGGGGCAAGCTTACAGTATGGGGAGCCGTACTTGTGACATTCTATTGAGAGATATAAGTGAAACTTTTATAATTTTTTGAATTGAGTGCTTTTTAAGTGAGCTTGGCAAATAGAGAGTAGAGGAGGAGGAGTTTGGGATCCAACATGACCTACAAGTTAGAGCGAAAGTCTTTGATGAGCAAAGTCAACCCTTGATGCTCGAATGTCACATTAGAGCTATACGTACATAAATGTTTAACTTGTTGCCTTGTCAATAATGCATGAGTGGTGTGGGTAATTGTTGGTCCCAACCGAGGTGTGAATGATTCACCCATTGCTACCTGTAATGTCCCTTAACTTTGGAGGTGGAAACTATTTTATTTGCTTGAGGACAAGCAAAGACTTAAGTTTGGGGGAGTTGATAAGTGGGAATTTTGACTACTTATTAGCGCCTTTTAGCTTTTGTTTTAGTCAAAAAGCATTGAATTATTTTCCGAAACTGATGAAATGTGCTAAATTGCAGGAATGCTGGAAGTTGGAATCCGGAGATAAAATTCGACTCAAAAAAGGAGTAATCTTAACTCAAGGTAATAAAAGGCACAGAAGCTACAAAGTGCGGACCACAGAATTTCATCTGCGGCCGCAGATGATGAAGAAAAACCCATCAGACTTTCTGGCAAATTGCAGACCGCACAAGAATTGTGTGGCCACAAAAGTTGGGTTAGGAGCAAAGTTCATAGAGCGTGCAAATTCCTAAGCCCCTCAAGATTGCGAACTTTACAAGAATTGTGCGGTCGCAGAAGTATAGGTGCGAACCACAGAAGACCAAGTTGCGGCCGCAGTGGTAAATCTGCGGACAACAAAAATGATGCCTCGCAGCCGCAGTCAAGAATTGTGCGGCCGCAGAACCCCAGCTCCTGCAAGATGAAGAATTCTGCGGACCGCACATGGAATTGTGCGGCCGTAAGACCTCCCAAAGGGCATTTTTGTCTTAAATTGTTAGCTTTGTATATATAGAAGAGTTTCACGAAATTAGGTCAAGTTTTTGAATATTAAAAGTGCTGTAGCCGTTTCTATTTGCTTCTTTAGGAAACTTTAGCTTATTTTGGTGATTTAACAATGAATTTTCTTTCAATATGAGTTTTATTATCCTTTCTTCGTTGTTTTCTTCTACACCCACTATGAGTAGCTAGATTTTTACTAGAGTTGTGACCCAACCCTAATGTGTAAACCTTATGGGTGATTAATTTTATGCTTGTTTATGAATGAATGTTTGTAATTTAACTAGGTTCATGCTTCAATTGTGTATTTAATAGTTGCAAACATTGATTCATGTCTATTTGACTTAGTCTCTTCTTGAGAAAGAGAGACCTAGTCTAGGTTAACTTAGCTAACAAGGAATTGGGTCAATTGAGAGATTGATTAACCCAATTAAAGGGTTCTACCTAGAAATAGTAACAACCCGACTTGAGCTCTTATCAACCGTTTTGGTAGATACCCATTTGGACTTGAGAAATCCAAATTGGACAAAACCACCCTCTGACCGAGTTGTATTGAAATGGGCAACGTAGTGTTGTGAGCTATAATACACCCCAATCGATAAAATAACATAAAAGTCTTTATCCCATTAGTCAAACACCTAGGTCATGGTCACAACCCTAGACCTTTTTATATCTTTGGAAAACATTCAAAAACAATCAACTCTAGTTTTATACCTTTAGATTTGCAATCCTTAGTTAATTTTAGAAGTAAAAACAAAACCCTGTTTGTGGAAGTGCAATCTTGATACTTCACGTATTCACTCCGAATATATACTACTAACTCCCATCTTAGCTCCCTATGGAACGATACCGACTCCTTGTTGGATTTTATTATTGCAAACGACTGTGTCATACCTCGTTAGAGGCGTGCATTTGGACGTGATCAGTACTACTAGTGGTCACGAGGAAGCGTAGCTCATCTTTTACGGAGACTTAGCGGTGAGCTTCTTTCCTTGTTACGATCTGCAGCACCAGAGTCTCCCTCTACCTTGTTTATTATTTTTGTCTATTACTTTTCAGACAATAGTTGTATTAGTCTTGTATATTCTCTAGATTGCTCATGCACTTGTGGTACCATGTTTTGGGGGGGCTTTTAGCATATATATACTGTTGTACTTATTACTACTGTCATTACAGTGGATGTATTTATCATGGTGGTATTTTGTTGAGAAAAGAGTACCCACGGTTGCATAAGATCTTACTTATTTCGTTATTCTAAAGAGGTACTTTTATTTTAAATGTTAAAAAGGGGTAATTAAATTGTAGTTTCACTTGTGGGCTTGCCTAACGACGGCGTTAGGTGCCATCGCAACCTATTATGGGTTTTGGGTCGTGACAGTGAAGTTAAATTTCAAGAGTAATACAAAATTATATTCACTGTATTAGATTAAACTGATAATTTATTAATAATTTATATGACAATTTAATAACATTAAGTAATAGATAGTGCAATTAGATAAGCAATGAAACAAAAAAAAATATAAATTTGTGGCAACTATAAAAATATAGCACTTATAATTAGACTTATAATGAGAAAAGTCGTACATATACACATAACTAAAATCATAAAAAGCAAATAGTTATAAGGGAATAATACTATAAAAAAAGAATTTCAAGCGATAGCGTAAAAATATATATACTAATTAAATATCTCATGTAGAAAATTTTAGTTAATAAATAGAACTCATAATTTTAAAATAAAAAATACAAAAATATAAAAATAGTATTAGAATATTATACATAAGATAAGCATATTATATATATAACGTAAATTAATAACTATTCAAAGTATTGGTAGGTTTCTTATAAAAATAATAAAGGCTTATCTCTTTATACTTTTGATGAATTCAAAATTATAACTTAGTAAAAAATATATTATATTGTTTCAATTTTTAGTAAACTACAAAATGAGAAAATTAATCAAATATTACAGTAGAAAAGAATGTACGAAAAGAGGGGGATAAAGATAATTTAATGATATTTATATTTTGATAAGTTTTAAAAAAAAAGATAAATAAATAACACTCAAAAAATTTATCAATAAATTTAGACAATTTAAGATTTTTGAACAATATAACATAAGTTTAAAAAGAAAAATATTTTCAGAGTAAGAAAATATATATATCTATATTATATTAAAAGAGAAGTCGTATCAAAATATTAAGCCAATTGACAAGTTAATAAAAAATTACATTAGTAAATATTTAGTACTAAGTACTTGCTAATTTAATTTAATAATAAGAATAAATAAGGAACAAACAATTTATTTAATTACTATATGATGTCTATACCTTGATTTTATTATATTTTTGTACACTATATTAAATAATAAAATACAATTACTATTTATTAAAATAATATGATATATTAGATAATAATTTTATAAAATTAATATTGTGTATTTAAAAAATTTAAACCGCGAGCCATCAAAAGAGATCCATAGTTCTGCACTGTCGTTGCGCTTTACAACTTGTTTGGATGGTTGTTACATATCGTTTCATAATGTATCGTATCGTATTGTATTGTATTGTATTGTATCGTTTGATGAATACAATATTTGGATGGATTGTGTCGTTTTGGCGTCGTTTCATGGTATCATGCACCATTAATATGATGAATAAACTTGCAATATTATAAAGAAAAATTATGAGATGATATATAAAAAGGTAGGGTAAATGATAAAATAAAATTATTTAATAATAATGAAGGATGAGATTGAGAGAAAACACAAGGAAACGATGCGACCACATCAAATCGATCGTTACATAAAGTGACACATTTCATCGTTACGTAACGACAGATTTAACGATACGATACAATAAAATTTAAGTAACAATCAAAACAAATATTGTATTTAAAGTAACAATACGACACGATATAACTGGTAACAACAATCCAAACAAGCTGTTAGGGATTTTGGGGATCAATAGCCTGTTTGGCCAAGCTTATTTTTGGCCAAAAGTGCTATTTTTTTGGCCAAAAGCACTTTTAGCCTCAATTTGAGGTGTTTGGCCAAGTTTCTGGAAGGAAAAAAGTATTTTTGAGGAGAAACAGAAGCAGTTTTGGAGAAGCAGAAAAAAGTAGTTTTTCTCCAAAAGCACTTTTTTAAGAAACAGTTTTGAGAAAAATACACTTAGAAACAGCTTTTTAAAGCTTGGCCAAACACTAATGGTTGCTCAGAGGTATTTTTCAAACTAATTAGCCAAACACGTTGTTGCCAAAATTATTTTGAAAATAAAACACTCATTATTGCACCTTGGCCAAACGGCTGTAAAGCTTGAAAAAGGTCGAGGAGGAAGCAAAAAAGCAGTCTTTTCGATCATCCACCCAAAAACTATTTAAAAGAAAGGAAAACGAATCCTTTGATAAACCTCCAAAATCTATTCAGAGTTCAAACATACATCACTTGCCCTGAACCTTTTCTCCATCTAAACAAGCTTTCAGTATTCACACATACAGTTCTTGCTGGGTTTTCTGACTTCAGATTTTTGACAAAGTTGTTATTTGGTCTAAAATCTTTTTACAGTCTGCTATGAGCTTTTCTTGAGCAGAGAGCCGCTGCTCATCTGCATTTATTGCTGGGTCCTTGAAATTTTTTTCCCACCATGGTAAGTTTCTGGTTCTTTCACTGTTTACTTCTTTGCTTCAATTTTACAGTAATGGTTATTCTGTAAAGAATTTTCTAGACAGTTCTGTGTGAGATGGAGGGAAGGAACCTAGCCGACAGGAAGTCCGATGAAATTCATGCCCTTAGGATAAATTAGGAAGTGGGCCCCTTCCCTTAATGGGTTTGTTATACTAAATTAACCCTAAGTGAAAAAAGTTAAAGCGGGGAAGGATGAGTTGGAATTTTAGTGTCTTAGTGCTGAGTTTATCTACTGAAATCTTTAAATTTGTATAGCATTGCATAAAGAGAAATTATGTGTTTATGTTTCCTGACGGGTGGTTGTCTAAACAAGCATCAGTTGATCTTTCATCTCTTGTTTGGGTAGCCGGCTCCTCGATTGATCTTTCATCTCTTGTTTCTCTGTGAGGTGAGGAGCCCTTTACGGAGAATTCAGTTTGTTGGTTGATTTAAGAACCTGTAATCATCACATTTCTAGCAATTATAAATTCATCAAAATAATCAAGCTATTGTTAAGCGCAAGTTAAGCATGTCTGGAAGTCGGATTGACGTGTTGCATACTTAATGCCCAGGATTTATAAAAGATAATCAAGATATTTCTACCTCCACTGATTTTTCGCCTTTTTTTGCTCTATGAGGCGAGGACCTCTCTACGAGGAATTTTTGTTGCTCTCTATTAACATGTTCGGAGCTATTGTTTGGACAGCCTCTGACGTTCTCACTCTTTTGCTGGTATATTTGGAGGATGAGCTTTCAACGACTCTATGTTTCCTTCCTATTTTATCTACACACACAAAATAATTAAAAATTATCAGTGATGCAAATAAATAATTTCTCTTAACTCAAAAAAGATTGAACCGTCATTGACAACAACAATCACAGGTTAAACAACCCACTGTTTATTTATAGAAGCATAGGTGGTTTATACAAGAAACCTGCACACAACCACATGTTCTTTGTATAAACAACGTCGGGTTGTTTAAACAACACAAGATTGTTTATGAAACAAATTCCCTAAACTACCCAGGGTTTTATAAACACCCACAGGTTGTTTAAACTCTTGTGGTTGTTTAAATCAACCTAGGTTTGATTTAAACCAACAATGGACATCCCCAACTTAGGAAATCAAAACCAAACCGTATCCAACTAGAATCAACCAAATCCGGCCCTTCTTCCTCTCACAATTCAAAAAAATTAGAAAACACGGTAATTTACCTTAGATAATTTTCAACAAGAGTTAAGGGGACTGTGATGACGATGTCTTGACGGAAACTGGAGGGTGGCTGTGATCAATCAAGGGACCGACAATTGCACGATTAGCGGTGATCGGAGTGATTGCCGGTGATCGGAGTTGGCTTTTGACAGGAATGACAAGAGCAAAGAGGTGAGAGGGAACAAGAAGCATTTTGAGATTTTAAAGTTGTGGGGTTAGGGTGAGGTAATGGGATCTCTTTTTAATTTTTGGGGATTTTTAGTGTTTATCCAACTCTTTAGTAATTATAATGTGGTCTACTTCTGCCAAACTAGTCTGTGACCATAGATGTAAAGGAAGTCCAAGAGTTGATCCACACTCATCCTCATCTAGATCGCATACCTGACAGTTAGAGATCACCATTTGAGTTTCATTGTTGCTTGCTTCAATTTCCATTTCCTTACCAATATTCATTCAGCTTCTCTTCTAAGGGAAACTCGAGCAGAAACTAGAGACCTGTCATCTCAAAAACTTGTACCCCTACTTTTACTTTCCATTTGTTGCGTAAATAAGAACAAGTTGGTTTGTCTAAGTTGCCTCCGTCAAATCTCTCGACTACATGTCTGCCTAGAAAATCATTGTTAGTTGGTGATGAGTCTCCTTCAGTTTGACTCTTCTCCTCCTGTACTTTTGTCTTAGCATGTTGTGCTCTTTCTGTGATCATCTGCTGTGCTTTATCATCTTTGAGAAGGTGTTTCTGATCACGTTTGGTTGAGCTTCCACTATTTTCTCTATGCCTTTACTTTCAAATTTCTCAATCTTATTCTCGAGGTATTCCTCCCTGGTTTTAGAACACACAGACCTCTGGCAAGATAATCAAAGACTTGCGTTCCCCGCTGTCTTAAAAAGCGTTCGCTTCGTCGCTTTAAGCGAGAGGCGACCAGCCATCGCTTTTTCCTACCTGAGGCGACACGACCAACAGAAGCAATTGCTTCAGTCGAGGAAGCGCGAAGCGACGCAGAAGCGAGAAGAGCAAAATCGATCGCTTCTGTCCAGAGGGGTCCATTTTAAAAAAAAAAAAAGTTTGGGTCTTTTTTTTTTAATTATACAAAATAGACCCAAAGTGAAAGAGACCATTTCTTTCTCTTCTTCCCAAAATCGAACGTTGCTGGCTGCTGCTAGGGTTCCAATCCAGCCACAACAGAGACCTCCAGGTAATTTTTCTTCTTTCTTCTTCTTCTCCTTTTCTCTTCTCCTCTTTTTCTCTCTTCTTTCTTCTTCTTCCCGTCCAGTCGTGTGCACAGCTATGGTAGGCGCTATTTTTTTCCCATTTTATTCTTCTTATTTAGTATTTTAGCATTTATTTGTTAATTTTTATGTGTATTTCAGTTTATAAAATTAATTATCATATATATATATATATACATATATATATGTGTGTGTGTGTTATATTTTCAGTTTATTTGATTATGTTTTTAAATTGAACTTTTTCATTATCTATATTGTCTCTTGCAAGGTTTACATTATGTTTTTTAAGAATTGCGCTTCACTTCAATGAAGTGTGCGCTTCGCTTCGCGCTTCGCTTTTGAAGCAAGGCGAGCCCCTGTCGCTTTTTTGTGCTTCTTGCTCTCAAAAACACAGGCGTTCCCCCTGTATCCCGACATGCTTATGTATCTTCCATAATTGATTGTACTTTTGAGTACAAAAATAGGCATAGGAATGTTCTGTAAGCTTTCATCTTTTGCGCAGGTACCTTTGCCTTCAATGCTATGTGGAGGATGACATAGCCATAAAAGCACTTCTCACAGTCATCCTTCTAATTAAATGCTTCTTTCTTTCCACTCAGTCTTACCATATATCTCCATCAGAAAAGTTTGCTGTCATATACGAAGATTTGTGTTCCCAACAGCAAAATAAAATTTTCTATTCATAAATATAACTAGGTTTTTAATCAAGCACCTTAAAGAAATGATTGAGGAAAAATATAGAGTGTTCTGGTTGACAAATGGAGAATACTAGCTTTTACTTGGAACTGTACAGAGAAATCAGACCTTCTCTTTTACTTTTTTGTTGCTTTTCCTTGAATTCTGAACCTTTTTGTTTTGAAGATCTTATAGATGAGTGGGATTTTAATTCACCTTGGTGTAGATTATTATCTTATATTACATGGATCCTTCATATGTCTTGATGTACCCATGTTGAATGGTCAGACATGTGTGCGGATATCTCATATGAACTTTTCAAATTACACTAAAATTTAGGAACATGCTGCACTTGCCTATGTTACATTGATACTTCAAGGCCAAAGTTTTTCACTTGCCTATGTTACATTGATACTTCAAGGCCAAAGTTTTTCACTTGCCTTGACGTACCCCTGTCGAATGGGTGTGGGTACTTCTTGTTTGTTCTTCAAAATACTCTCAAAATTAGCAAAAAAACTTGATGCAATCATATGGGATACTTGCACACCCTGGTGCATGGCACGTGTTCTTAAAAAGATGTGTAACCTAAGTGCTAACCCGTATCAGTTAATCACACATGTATCCTTAGCCGTCTATGCAACATACTCCCTCCATTTTATTTTATATGACAGTGTCTGATGGGGCACGATATTTAAGAAGAAAAAGACTTTTGCAAAAAAGGCTACTCAGTACTCTGTAACTAAAGTTTGTATCTCTGCATGCTATAGTTTCTTTCCCCTCTAACAAGAAGACTTGGACTCTGCGTAGTTTTATATTTCTTGCATAATGATATTCTGCATCTTTAATTAGTTATATTGCGATTGGCTGCAGGTCACAATGTGTCTAAATTGTGGTGATGAAGGTTGGACTAACGCATTTGTTTTCTGTGTGAAATGTCTGGAAGTTGCTGTGCATCGGTAAGTTGAATCAACAGTGTTGTTTTTGTTATAGTTCAAACATTGTACTCTCTTTATTGCAATTTTATTCTCGAGTATGATCTTTCAGTCACGGCTTGGGTCGTGACCGGCACTACGTGAAACTTGGTCGTGGCCGGTGTGAACTATAGCTTTGAAATGGAAATAACTTACACATGTACTTGTGGTGGACAGGTCGGTACTTGTACCAGTGGGAGTTGCAGGTACCTAGCGGAATAGTCAATATGCACCAAGTTTGCCTGTATACCACCGTACTTTTTTTAAAAAAAGAAATGGAAATAACTTACACCTAAATTATTTTAATTGTGGATTCGACTGATATACATTGTGATTTCTTAGACACCCATAGTTCCAGTATAAAGTTTACGCTGGGAATTAGTATCAGCTGTCAGCAGTTCCAGTGGGGTTACTCACAAGGACATCTAAACCTACTGATTTTTTTAATCAGCGTTGAAATTGAACAAACTAGTAGCTCTTTGTATTTTATTAATTCGAATTTAACTTGAACTTGATAGTCCCAACTAATTTACTTTTTCTCCTTGCACTGAACATTCCTCAAAATGTTTGTCTGAGAAAAATTGCCCCTGTTTCTCTCAAGCTTTGGTTGTTTAACTTCATGGATGGTTGTCTTAAATCAAGCACTTCAATTTTTGTTAGAGTTCTCAAAACCAGAAAATTCAATTAATCAATTCACAGCAGCAGAAGTTTCATCTGAATAATTCAGGAGATATACAACCTGAGTGTGAAAGGAAAACTGAAAAGTAATAGGAAAGGAACATACAAACTCTCTCAACTATCAAAGTGGTAACAATAACAGAGCTCCTAAACTTTTTTGATGAGGTAATAAATTCTAATGTTTGAAAGGGAAATACCCCAATTTAGTGTTTATACTAAGTGGAGAAATCGCTCATACCAGCAACAATTATATAGGTATTCCAAGAAAGAAAAAGAGCAAGTACCAAAAAACAAGTTCCTTTCAAGAAGCTCTGAGATGACCCATCTCCAAATAGACCATCCACTAGAACCCCCTTTGATGCATCTCCCTCCAGTAGTCGAGCTCCTTAAAGAGTGGGAAACCAAATGTCGATGAATATATCTTTCAGAAGATCTATATATTATTGGAAGTGGAAATGATATTAACAACTTTTTATAGAAAATTTACTGTAGTACTTCCTCCATTCAAATTTGCTTTGCTCTGTTTGTTTTTTGTCCATTCCTAAAAGATTTGTACCTTTCTATATTTAGAAGTTACTGTAATTTTACATTCCCATTCTGCTATGTCATGACTTGTTGTAGGGTCCAGAGGATACCAAAACAAATTATTTGGTACAAGAATACTTTTGGTATTTTGTTCATATTTATTCTATATCAAAAGTTTTCCTTTATTTCTTTACTTTGTATCTAGTCAAATGTGCCCACAAGTTGGAACAGAGGGAGTATTATTTAGTAAAAGAGACAGTGATTTGGGGAAGATCATTGGTAAAGAACTTTCAAAAAGTTCTCAGTGCAGTTGTTTTGTGATCTTTTTTATAATAGTGGTTGATTCAAAGCCCACGTGAAATCACATTTTGGAGGACAAGGGACCAAACAAAATGATTTTCTTATGCATTATGCAGTTTTGATTGCCATCTTAGCGACAGATGACCTAAGAGAGAGAAGACAAATGCTAGTCAATTGGTGCTGCTGGTGTAGGAAAGACGGGGAGGATGTAGACCATGTATTAATACATTGTAGTTTTGCCACATATCTATGATCCTTGATTATTGTATGTTTAAGTAACATAGTTTGGGAGTTCCTGGTGCGTATCGGAAGTGTCAACAAGTTAGAAAATACAAAAGATGGTCAATATGAAGGGCTTTTGAGAGTTGCTCCTACAGAGTCCATTGTGGAGAGTCAAGAGCTCCTTTTTATTTCATTTATATCTTTTGCTTTGAAATGATATTCTACATTGTATAGGTGAATGAAGTTACTTATCAAAAAAAGCTATATAGATGGATGAAGTTTCGGTTTTGTTGTAAAACCATACTTTTGTATGTTGCAATGCCATTTATTCATTAAATCATTGTCTTATTAAAATGGATCTTTGCAAACTAAAAGTTCTTTGAAATTTGATGGACCTACAAGGCTACAACCCTTTGCCTTCAACACTTAAATTAACCTTGAAAAGGAAGCTTATAATGGGCAATTCAATTTTTTTGAGCTATTCATTGTTTGAATGTTGTACAAAATGTTGGTTCTTTGATCAGAAAGCAACTTCCTGTTCCTCCAGGGTTCTGTTTTCTGTTAGAATGTTTGAGTTATAGTGGTAGAAGAGTTGGGTTCTTATGTTGCTTATTAATTCACATTGGACCAATATCATATGTATAATGCGTCTGATACTATAGTTATTAGAGCCTCTACGATCTTGGTAGAGAATCAAGTAGCTTCTCCCTACCAGCTGATGGCCTTGTGTCATTTGACCGGTTAAAAGTTTTTCCTCCTTCCTTCTTTGCAGTGACCACCTTGGTTACCATGTCTCTTTCCGGTGACCAATCAGGCGGCACCACACTTCTCTGGCAGCATCACAACTTTTTTCATGCGGCTGCTCAAATAGCACTAAGTCATTTTACAGCAGTGCCTTTCCTCTTTCTTATAGCTGTTTTGGTAATGCTGCACTTAATTTTGACGATCATTCCAACTATATCGTGCATATTTCCAGTGATTGTTGTAGAGGTGCGTATCTCTTTTCGATGACCGTTTCAGCGTTCGCTCTTCTTTCCTGTGATTGTTATGATGGCGCCGCTTCTCTTTTGATGATCGTCCAGGTAATGACGTGACCTTTTCTGGTAATCGTTTTCACATCCGCTATCTTGGCGAGATTCCAGCAACCACAACTTTTCTGGTAGCATTTTGTAGATTTCCAACGAAATGTTTCTACATTCTCAAAATAAGCAAATCCAATAATTTGCCTGCTTTGACTTCGAGTTAGGACAATGGGAGGTGACTCAGAGCATTTTCCGGTAGTTATGGGGTTGTACCAAGGATCAACGCTCAGTCCTTTCCTATTTGCCTTGGCGATGGACGCGCTAATGCACCATATTCAGGGAGAGGCGCCATGGTGTATGTTATTTACTGATGATATAGTCCTGATTGATGAGACGCGAGGCGGTGTCGGCGAGAGGCTGGAGGTTTGGAGACAGACCCTGAAGTTTAAAGGTTTCAAGTTGAGCAGGACTAAGACAGAATACTTGGAGTGCAAGTTCAGTGATGTAACTGGGGAAGCGGACAGTGATGTAAGGCTTGATTCACAAGTCATCCCCAGGAAAGGAAGTTTTAAGTATTTTGTGTCTATTATCCGGGGGAACGGGGAGATTGGCGAGGATATCACACACCGTATAGGGGCGGGATGGATGAAATGGAGGTTAGCATCTGGAGTCTTGTGTGACAAAAAGGTGCCACCAGAACTTAAAGACAAGTTTTATAGAGCAGTGATTAGACCGGCTATGTTGTATGGGGCAGAATGTTGGCCAGTCAAGAACTCGCATATCCAGAAGATGGAAGTAATAGAAATGAGGATGTTGAGGTGGATGTGCGGGCATGCTAGATTGGATAAGATTAGGAATGAGGATATTCTAGCAAAGGTGGGGGTGGCGCACAGATGACAAATGCGGGAAGCGAGGCTTAGATGGTTTGGGGAGGAGAAGCCTTGACGCCCCGGTTAGGAGGTGCAAGTGGTTGGCTTTGTCACTTGTGAGAAGAGGTAGAGGGAGGCCTAAGAAATATTGGGGAGAGGTGATTAGGCAGGACATGGCGCGACTCCAGCTCACCTAAGACATGACCTTAGATAGGAAGGCTTGGAGGGCGAGCATTAGGTTTGTAGGTTAGTAGGTAGTTGAGCGTCTTTCTTCCCTGTTGAGGGTGTTAGGCTAGTTTGTAGTGTCTTTAGATTGTTAGTGGTACTTGTTGTGTTTGCATTGTTTTCTGCTCCGATTGCCTAGTACCTTTCCATTATTCTGATTATTGATATTGCTTTTTCCATTTATTTTTCTGATTCTTAGGTTGCTCGCACTGTCTTCTTGACATATGTGGTTGTTATTGTTGCCACCTTTTCATCTCCTTGTGCCGAGGGTCTTTCGGAAACAGCCTCTCTACCCTCCGGGGCAGGGGTAGGGTCTGCGTACACACTACCCTCCCCAGACTCCACACGTGGGATTGTACTAGGTGGTTGTTGTTGTTGTTGACTTCGAGTGTGCTAGAATTTTAACGTTTCGCATACTTAAGTTCTTAATTTGGATATTATTTGACATTACACAAATATCATACAGAAATGTGTGCATTGTACTAATCACATTATTAAGCCTTCATTAATGTCTCTTTCATTCTCTTAGTTTCTCATGATTTTTCTCTTTTCTTTAGGTCTTTGAACTAACAATTTTCTTTTCTTTTAAATAATAATTTCTGTGGCATGACTTATTAGTTGCTGTTAAAGGTTAAATACCAAGATGGGTTACAGGTTATCCTTTTTTGTTTCGTTATATGGTTTGTTGATCTTGCTTATTTTTCAGCTACTGCCTTAAAAAAGTCACCTTCAAGGAATTTGTCAACTGGGTCTGTGATGACTGTGAAGTGAAGGAGCCAGACGGACTAAACATCAAGAAATCTGATGCCATCTCAGTAGAAAATGGGGATTGCACTAGTTCAAGACATTGTAAAGCAACTTCTAAAGCAAAAGTGGATGTTCCTGAGACAAAATTAAAGAGTTGTCAAGGTAGGGATCAGCAACTTCATCAGCCAGGTGCTGGGATTGATTTGGTAGAGAATTGTCGGATAGCGGGTGATAGTCCAGTTGTGAAGACGAGCAAGAAGAGATCTAATCCTGCTTCATTAAGAGATGAGAAATATGAGCAAAGACTAGTACGTTGCTCTTCTGAGCAATCCCACGAGTCACAGATAAGCATTCAGTGCAATGAACGAACTCAATCAGCTAATGTTTCTCCATTGCCAGCTAAGCGATCAAAGGAAGAAGTTACCGGCCCACTGGCAAGGGAAGAATTGCAAGCTCGTCATTTGAAGGAACCTTGTGAGGGAGATGTTCAGCCTGGCACACAGGATGATTCTTCTGGCATGATTGAAAAGACAATGAGTATGTCGTCCCGTAGCAATCATCATGAAGAGGAATCGACGATTGGAAATGATAGAAGATTAACACCTCAATCTAGAACTGTTGTTAATGGAGATCCTTCTCAATTTTCAAAAGGTGAACAGCCAAATGAACCCAAACATGGTGGCCAAGACCGAGCACAACCTCTTATTGATTTCATTTGGAGGTCAGGAGATATGTCATGAATTTTAACTCGGGAGATAATCTAACCGATGGATCTATTATTGTGCAAATGAAAATTTATTCTTATTGTGATCTGACAGGGGTAGTTTTAACATCTGGAACAAAGAGTATGAGACATTTTATGGACAAGCTCACCTTTCAGTTAAAGCATGCCAAAAGGTTTTTGAAGAAGCAAGTTTGCTTCCAGCTTCGCTTCAACTGGAAATGCTTCCAAAATCTGACTTATGGCCTAAGAGTTTCACTATATCAGAGCCGACTGATGATAACATTGCATTGTATTTTTTCCCATCGGACATAAGGTAATTACTTGTATATTTTCACCATTCACCGGTTATTTTGATCAAGTTTTGGTTTATTCTCCTCCTATTTTTCTTGCTATAGATGGGAAAAGGTGTTTGATCAGTTGGTGGAGAAGATGATCAGTAACGAACTTGCTCTTCGAGCAATAGTAACTAATGCCGAGCTTTTGGTTTTCACTTCTACGGAACTACCCCTGCTATACTGGAGTGAGTTATTATACACGTACTTTCTATTTTGGTTTGTCCCGAACTCCCCAATACGATACTCTATAACTTTCTAACAGTGGGACCATCTCTAGTTCTCAATGTTTTCTTTATATTCTAGTAAAAGTTTTAAAAAACAAAAGAAAACTTGGAGACTTGTCTTTGATTGATAGGAGATTGGTAATGGGAAGTTGAGGATTGGTGGTCAGTGGATAGATTGGAGTTCCAGAAGGTATGATTCCCAAAAAATGTTTAGGCAGAGAGACAGTGTCTTCGTGTGGGCTAGAAAAGGGGGAGACTTGAATATTTTTTAAGCCCAAGCACAGGGCAGACTGAGCACAGGGCAGCCCAAGCACATTCAATCCTATTGAATGAAAGTCAGTTTCTTTAGAAAAAAGTTGCTTCTTATTATATATCCTTACATTAAGCCAACAAATTAACCAATCATCATTCCTGCTTATCAAAGGTGAAGGTTGTATGCCTTGTCATATTGCCACTGGGTTAATGCTTTATGGACAATTTCTCTTAAATTTAAAAATTGTTAATTCTCCTAAAAATACTTTTAGCTGGAAGTTTGGACCCACTTTCAGTATAATATAACCGTGCCAAATCAAATGAGATAATATAAACTAGAATTGTGGGAGTAGGAGTATTTGATTAAAGATGAGTATGTATTCTAGGTTTGCATTACCTTCGTTATCCAAGGTTCATTGTTAAGCTGTTTGAGAAAATCAATTGGCAGGATTCCAGGGTAAGCACTACCTCTGGGGTGTTTTCAGAGCAAAGCGAGATTCCAGTAGGAATACTATGATGCCAAATGGGAAGAGAGAATCTGCGACTCATCCAACTCCTGGGAATGAATTGGCGGTCAAAGATGGTGGAGATGTCGCAAATGCCAAAACGTGGGATCAGAGTCCTCTTAGCCCTTTGAGCAACAATGCAAGCCTTGGGTCTGCCACTTCCTGAAGCATCTCTGCTCTTGTTGTTTTGACGCATTTCCCTCACTTATATGATCTAGCATGCTATTTAACTGGTTGTTAATGCATATATGGGCTGAGGGCTGAGAATCTGGTGGTTAGGATGAAACAGCTTTTAACAAAATGTCCTGTGAAAGGTACCTCTGATTTAACAAAAGCCTTCTGTTACCTGTTGATTTGAGGATCAGTGAACCTGCTATATGCAGGAGCATGGTTTTACATGGCCATTTATTTCGTAATTTCTCCTAATATGATGATCAAGTCTAATCTTTTGCAGCTGTACATGATTGACCGACATTATTAGTCCCAAGTCACCCAATGGTATGACAAGGAAGAGAAGCTTTTACACCGCTCTGTTCCNGCTCTCTTAAATGTAGGGTTGAAACGAGGGCAGGACGGGACGGGGCAGGTGAAGCCTTTCCTACCGCAGATTTAACATGGCCTGCCCCGTTTTACAATATTCCTCTTTTCGACATGCCTCGCCGCATTTAACTTTATTTTCTTTTCTTCTTTTCTCTCCATTTTTCAGTTTGCATGTTCTTATTTGGACGTGTGTGAAACTAGTGCCTGAATGTTGCAGAATGAATCAAGCAAAAATGGATAAAATAGTAAAAATTAGAGAAAAATGCTAAATGGACTAACTAGGTTACGGACTTACGGTTAAGAGATACTTTTGATTCATAAAAATAGTGAAAAGGAGAATAGTTACTTTTTATAACGTTCAAACTCTAGCTGAATCACCCCAAAGAGCAAAATGGATAAGGATTTAGTACAAGATTATAAGGCAAATCTGATCAGGACTAGATGGTGACATCCCCAGAAATTAACATGCGAAATGCGTAACTACATAAACTTATACTAAAAATTATTGAGGACTAAATTGTAACTTTACAGTACTTTTTAACGCACTAACAACTAGGTACTCCTCGAGAAGCTTTGAGTCCAACCACGATCAGCTCTTTTCTATTCTTAGACTTGATTTTGCATCATTTCTCTCCTCTTGAAACCTTGTCCTCAAGGAAGAAAGCTGGAAACCTGGTCTTCAGTACATGATAGTCTTCCCAAGTAGCTTGTTCCTTTGGCATGTTTTTTCGCTGAATTAGAAGTTGAGGAACTGTTGCTCCCAAACGCACACGCAAGTATATGTGGTCGACAAGTAATATAGGATTGTAAGTCCAGATATCGTACTCACAGAGACTTGTGATTAACTATCAACTAAATTAAACTAAGATAATTAATCTATTCAAACGATTTTCTCAAGATTATTAACTACAACTAATCTAGAGTAGCAAACAAAAAGATTAAAAGGAAACAACTTGGCGAATATTAGAGACGAATTCAATGAGAGACGATATTCTAGAGCTATGGGTTGGCTAACAATCTTGCTGAGTTTTCCACTTTAGTTGTCTAATTAATTTATCTAGTTTATTGATTGACAGGGTTAATATTACTTATAGCCTTCTCCCGAAGTACTACTCGTCTATTCAAGCTAACCTAATGCCTATATTCCTATGGAATTAGAATTAACAAGAACGCATTAATAATTCCTGTATAGTAACCAAGCAAGGCAATTAGGTATATTCCTATCCTAACCGCAAATCCGTTCCCGATGCTCAAGTTCAAGATCTCGCTCTACTCAATCTTATATGCAATCTAGAATTCCCTCTCTCGAGTTCAATCCTAGATTCGTAGAGGGTATTCAATTGGGGATTAAACAATCAAATAATTAAGCGCGAGATTGAATAAATAAACCAATATGATAAAATAATAAGAACAATTCAAGCTTCAACTACAACGTTCATGTAGCACCCACAAACTCTAAAACTAATAAACTATGAATTAAATGAAGAGAAGATAAGAGAAAAAAAACTAGTTAGAAGCCTCGTCCAAGCGTGGTATGTGTTCCTCCACGTGAATTCTCCTTCAAAGTATGTTAGATATCCTCCAAATTAGGTTTAGGACCCCTTTTATACGAGTTGGGACCATGTAAGGCCGAAATAACTTGTCCCGATCAAAATAGAAAAACCACCGCAACACAGCGTCCAGGGAAACACGTCACGCTGGCCTTGGCGCTGAAACCAGTAAGCCTGTCGCCTAACTTTTGCATTCCTTGCATAATCAAATGCTACTTTGTCTCTTCAAATAACTTAATTCGGTACTTCTTTGGAACCCAGCAACCAAACTTCTCTTTCCTCACATACTTTTATCTCAATTCCACGTAATGCACGTATGCCATTTAGCTATTATCTTCCATTATTTTGTCTTTGACCTTTATTCTCTTCGAGTGTTAATGTGTTTTGCTCCAAATTTTATCTCCACCATACCGATTTATTTTTACACAGTTAAAATATTGTATTAAGAACAAAATAATATAATTATACTCAAAGGATGATTAAAAGTATTAGAATATGAGGCAACAATGGGTAAATATATGCATTTTTTGCCGAATATCACAACCCCACACTTAAACTCTTACTCGTCCTCGAGTAAGCATTAAAACCACTCTCAATAAATCAAGCCTAGAAACACCACCACTTCGGTTGATACTAACAATTAGGCTCTATAACAACTCAAACCATCAGATATACACTTCCTGATCATCGTGCAAGATATACAAGTCACAAACAAACAACAAACTTCTAACCTCCTAACCTCAGAAACGAACTCTAACTTACCAAATTTAAGCTCGCTCACCTACTCTGTCAAAGAAGCTAATAGCATCACCTATCTATCATGAAACAAGTGCCCTCACAAGAATAAAAAGTTTATACACTCAAATCAAAGAATGGACATAATTTAAAGACTTAACAGCAAATAACAACTCTCCCCCTGGCAAATGAATTCACATGTATGCACAAAGAACCATAGGTTTGCCCATTATGTACATCTCTATTAATTAAGTATACTTGAATAGAATCAAATATGACTTTAAAGAAATGTAATGTATGCTAAGGGACGGGTAAGAGAACTATATAATAGTGACTTATACTTCCCTAAGCACTCCGCATTTTTAGACTTCATCATCCATTATTTTCATCTCTTCAGTTTATTTTTCAGCCCTCTCTTCATCTATTGTTTCACAAGTATTTCCTCATATAAAGACCGTTTCATTTATTTTAAGCAATTTTTCTTTTATCTTTTTTTTCCATGTAACATTCTTTTCAAGAGGGTCTTTTCATCACTTTTCAGCTATCGTTGGTCACCAGTTTTCACTTACTCATCCCTTTCTTCAAATTTATCAATTAATAACACAGTTTAAGCAACAGTGCTCTAGGAAGCAGGGTGCAAAAACTAGGAATTCAACAAAAGGATTAAGACAAAATACGACTTCCAAACAAAAGGCTACAGGTTCAAAGGACTAACTAGTGGTACAATATCTGAAAAAGCTAAAATTCACAAAACATATCAAAGAAAGCCTATCATCATCTTCTAAACAGAGCAATACTTTTATTTCACTTCAATAACATGCATGACAAGTTCTAGACTAAGTTGCAAAACATGGAATATATGTAAGAAATCCTCACCCCACATGGAACATGTATCAACCAAGATGGATCAATTCTACTCTAAGACATACGAATGATAAAATAAGAATACGTTATATACAGAGTCACAACCCTGGACTTAGGTGTCAAAACATCTGCCATTTTGTTCATTACTCAAGCACTCAGAGGAAGTACTACTCAAGCTCAAGCCTAAATATGTTAGTATCAAACAAGTCAAAAAAGTTTTTTTCTCCCTCTTTTTCTTCTCCTAAAAAAAATCTAATCCTAAAAATAAAAAAGTTTACCCGATTCAAGTTACATCCCCTGGAAAAGAACCGATGAAAAAAGAAATTGATGCCCGATAGGTCATCTGGAGTTTTAGAACCTAATTCTGTGTTTTGAAGTCTCAAATATCTCATTTTAGCCTTCCTCGATATGTGTACGCAGTCTAGGTATTTTTTTCGGAACTTTTATGTTAAAAACTGATAGAATATGACATTTTGCCTTAAAATCCATTTGAGTTGATTCGGCCAACAGTTTGAGAAAATGGACCTGGATCCATATTTTTTACGGTCTCGGTGGATCCGTATCATGATTTGGGACTTGATCAAATGCCGAAATCGAATTCGGAGGTCCCTAACCCGAGTTATTGTGTTTTGTTGAAAACTTAAGGTTTAAAGGCTTAAATAATCTAAAAGATTGACCAATATATGACTTTATTGATATCGGGTTTGTATTTTGGTTCCAAAACCCAGTATAGGTCCATTATTATATTTTTGACTCATCTATCAAATTTGGTGAGAAACAGAGTTGGTTTGACGTGATTCGGATGTCCGGTTGTTAAAATAGAAGTTCATGAGTTTTCTTGAAAATTTCATTTGATTTGGTGTTCAATTCGTAGTTCTAGGTTTTATTTTAATGATTTGATCATGCGAGCAAGTTTGTATGATGTTTTTGGATTTGTGTGCATGATTGGTTTGGAGCTCCGGTGGCTCGGCCGAGTTTCAGATAGACTACAGAATGAATTTGGACTTAGAAAACATAGCTGGTGCATCTGGTTCTGGTACTAGTCTCTAATCTCGTAAATACAAAGTCAGTGTTCGCAATTGAGAATGACCCAAGGTCCTGTCAGGTTCGCATTTGCGAACCACTTCTTCGCATTTGCGATGAAGGTCTGAGTCGGCAAGGATCGCAATTGCGATTAGGAGGTCGCATTTGCGGGGAGACCACAGTTCGCATTTCCGAACATTTCATCGCAAATGCGATGAAAGGAGAGGTGCGAAGACTTCGCAATTGCGAGGTATTTTTCGCATTTGCAGGGGTTCGCAATTGTGACATCTGCAACTGAACATATATGAGTTAGACGGGATTTTTGTTCATTTTTCAAAATTTCAAAACTAGAAAATCCTAGAGGCGATTTTCCCATGAGCCCTTCTTCCCCAATCCATTGGTAAGTGATTCTAACTTATTTTCTTTCAATCTTTCATTACATTTCATGAAATTTCAACCTAAAATCTAATATTTTTATGGTGGAAATTGGGGGGTTTGGGTAGAATTAGGGATTTTTGTAAAAATTAGGATTTAGACCTCAAATTGAGGGTTAGATTTCAAAATAAATTACATAACAGTTCTCGGGAGTAAATGGGTAATCAGGTTTTGGTCCGAATTTCGAGTTTGGACCAAGCGAGCTTGGGAGTTGACTTTTCAATAATAACCTAAATTGAATCTTTTACAATCGTGGGTGGTTCCTAAGTCTTATTTTGAATCGTTTGGTTGGTAATTTGCTAGATTTTGTTGGTTCAGAGACTTGTTTGAAAGGCAAAGCTGTGGTTTAGCTTTGAGTTGATCTTTGGAACGAGGTAA